TTACTTGTATTCGTTTGCACGATCAATCGCATCCTGTTGCTGCAATCGTTCCGTTAAATGAGTATTCGATATATCGATCAAATTTCTTTGAATAGTGATAATCCAAAATCACCAATTAATTGATGCATACGTAAATCATCTCAAATTTAAACAAAGCGAAAAATATATACTCTGTTGTTCGTTGAACTATTTTTTGCAACAGTTCGCGTTCCCTTGCTTGATCCGCTGCAGCATCATAACGCTGATAACTCATCCTATTGTGCCTACATGTTTCAATGATGATGATGATAATGGTTATTATTATTATTATTGACTTTATAATTCAAGCTTGCAATGTATACATTATATATGAGAGAATGAAACAATAACGTACAACGAATCAACGTATGCAGCATCACGAGATAAAAGAGGGGTTCTATCGTTCGGCTAAATCACATAATGCCCGTACATAAGAAATGTCGGTAAGTGAAAGAAACAGTGATTGTATATACTCGAAACTGTCTACTCGAACCCATTGAACCATTTAACAAATTTAACACCTCATAAATCTCATATTCACACCTTTGACTCATCACCAGGCTCTTTACTTCCGAAACAACCCATATTATAATTATTTTTTTTTAAAAAAAATAAAAGTCCCTTTCAGGCAATGAATGACTGCTATCAACAACAAATGCTATGGAAGAAGAAAGCGTGGCAAATAAGGGGTTAATGAGAGGTTGTAGTTAGTGGTTGGCGATTTATTGTTGATATTATAAGGAGGCGGGAAAAAAAAAATTAAACGTCAAGTATATATTTCAAAAGGAGTGACGTTTATTGCGTTTCACAAATTTTAACTCTCTCACATGTTTGATCTTTTAATATTACAGTTCCCTCGCGTCACAATCAAATCTGTAGTCTAAACGCCATAATGATTATTAGAAATGTTGCTTTGATTGGACAATAACAAGTGCATCAATAAAAAGGTTATTAATAGAACAACATAATATTCGCCAACCCCATCATTTATTTATTTACACATCAAACTTAACTCTTTTATACATCAAGAATTCGAATCGGATCTCATTCTCCTCCTGGACACCCTCCGGCACATCCTCACCTACAAACTTTACGAGCTCTTCATGTGTCGCTCGTTGATATACTGACTCATCAATTGGCGGGAAAAACGTGTCCGCTTCGAATTCTTTATATATTTGTGTGAGCAGAATGTGCGTGCATAGAGGTGATGCCATCGCTTCTGCATAGACGTACGATCCGCCAATTACATATATTTGTGAAACTTGAGGGTTGGCGGATAAAGATTCAATCGCGGTCATAAAATCGTTGAATAGTAGGACTGGCGGCGAGGATAACGGCAAATTTTGAGCTAGAGAAGAACTATATAGGATCACGGGTGGATCGATTAAATGGATCAATTAAGTGAAAAATGGATCGATTAAACATACTCTTTTGTGTTACTATCGTTGTTTTGTTGATCCACGTTGTTTGGAAGAGGGGGAAGAACCTTCCACGTTCGCGATAACACAGCATTCAATCGTTGTTTTAATGGTTGATATTTTGGCGGTATGGATTCCCATTGTCGTCTTCCCATTAATACCGCATTCTTTTTTGTTGCTGATGCTTCCTTCCTGCTACTATCATAATCATCGTCATCCCCTTTTCTCCTACTATCCTCATGATCATTAATTATCACCCGCTTGGTTACTTGCTCAAAGTATCTCATGTCGCGTTTTAATTTCCAAGGAAGTCTATTTTCTATTCCGATAGCCCGTTTCTCCGCGGTGGCAGCTTGAATTGGATAAATAATTCAGTATAGATTCGTGTTCGTAATGAAAAAGATACTAAGTTTTGAAAATCTACCGGCGATACACGCAAAGTTGGGTGGTTTACATGCCATTACGTTAACCAATAAATAAGAGAATTCAAGCGGCACGAAAGGTATTATTATTGATTCCTGAGACTAAGAAAAAAATTTTCATATATGGAAATTGCTAGGCGCATCTATTGCATTTAACAATGACCTATTTACATCTGGTGTAGCACTAAAAAAAAAAATTTGCTCGCGTTTTGAGGAATTCTCGTATCCATCTAAATTACTCGTTCAAATTCCTTTATTTCTTAATAGAAAAAGATGAGCCAATTTTTACGCGCCGCTTTACGCAGAGTCAATTCAACAGTAGCATTGTTGAACAATGGTATCATCACACACAATCATAACCATCACAATTGTTTTTCCACGTCAGCACCCACCCAAAATGCCATAAACAACATTACGGTCTTCGGCTCAGGCTTAATGGGTGCAGGTATAACACAAGTAGCCGCCCAAAACGGGTACAAAGTAACCATGGTGGACCTTGACGAACAATACCTACAAAAAGGTCACGACATTATCAACGCATCTTTGAAACGAGTCGGCAAAAAACTGTACATAGACGACGAGGCAAAACAAAAAGAACTGATCGATTCGACGTTTGCTAACATCACCACCAGCACCGACTCGTCAAAGTCAGTCGAGGCAGCTGATCTTGTTGTTGAGGCAATCGTGGAAAATCTCGAGACAAAGCAGAAGTTGTTTTCGACGTTGGACAAAGCAGCACCAGGACATACCATTTTCACGTCGAATACTTCCAGTTTACCCATTTCAGATATTGCTCAGGCAACGACGAGACCTGAAAAATTCGCGGGTTTGCATTTTTTTAATCCGGTACCGCAGATGAAGTTGGTTGAAGTGGTGAGGACGGATAAAACTAGCCAGGAAACGTTTGATACCTTGGTTGAAATCACTAAAAAATTGAAAAAAGAACCGGTTGCATGCAAAGATACCCCTGGGTATATTATCTATTTTTATCAATCTTTTTTTTTCTAGTATTTATGCTTCCACGTAAAAATAATGAGTGGATCGTTATAATTTTCAAGATTCATCGTCAATCGACTTCTTGTGCCCTATCTATTGGAAGCTATGCGTCTCGTTGAACGCGGTGAAGCAAATCCTCAAGATGTTGATACTGCAATGAAACTGGGCGCTGGAATGCCAATGGGTCCTTTCGAGTTAGGAGACGTAAGTTTTATCAACCAATTTTTCTCTTCAGATTACTCGAGTTCTTTTAAATAATTACACACTATTATCATTAGTTCGTCGGATTGGATACTCTTAAATTCATCGTTGATGGCTGGCGAAAAGGCGGAAAAATAGACGCAAACTTAGTCGAACCGGTCAAAATTCTTGACGAACTCGTCGCTGCCGGTCATCTTGGAAAAAAATCTGGCAAAGGATTTAAATCCTATTAAATCTCAAGAGTAAAAAGTAAAATGATCATTCGACAGTTTGCCTTGATTGCAAGCTGCAGTTCTTCATTTTCAAATAGAATTTAGACTTATTGTTATTACTCACCTCATTAAAAATTAATTTATAATTCAATCCTCAGTGTCATCATGAAATTTTAGAGAAACAGAACAACAGAATCAAATCATCACTATGTTCTCGAATTTGAAATGAACCAAAAGATTTGGTGGTGGTGGTTGTTGCTTACTCCACATTATTTAAATTGAAATCATTCGATCAACATAAAAACGACAACTTCAAAAGAATGAATATATATATATATATATGATATATATATTATTTATTGGCATTATGATGATTATATATTACTAAATGTCACCGAATCTCTGTGATGCGGAACAACAACCAATGTTTTTTAATGATGATAAATTGGGCATTTATACAAATGCGAAAAAAAACTAATAGAATCCCCAAAAAATAAATATATATAAAAGATTTTCAAAAATTGCTACTAATGCATACCACACACACACACACAATAGCCTGCTGGAACGTGGTGTAAATAATAGTAAAATAAAGGAATCATGGATATGTGTGCATGAAGTAAATAAAATAATGAAGTGAATAATAAAAAATGTCGGTAATGAGAAATAAAGAATACTTGAATAACAAAGGAAGGACTGCGCAAATGTGATAATAGTAATAATTTTCAATCACTCATTCACTCACTCAATATATAGATATGCATATCTCTAAAGGGGGTATATGTGTTAAATAAATAAGCAAAAAAAAAGAAACAAAGCAAAAGAAAAAAAGGGTACAAAATTTTTTTCTTAATGAACAAATAAAAAATATGAACAAGTTAAATAATAACAAGTGTATAACACAAAAGTGATGATGAAAAAGAAAATGAAGGGCTAGAGAAAATATGAAACAAGAAGAATAAGAAGCTTTGTACACACGCACAATCTTTCCTTCTTACCTTTTGTATTCTTACATTTACACAATCACAAGAATCAGCCGTGATGATGACGATTCTTGATCTTTTTAATGGTGAATTTTTCCTTTTTTTGTTTTTCTTTTTTTTTTAAAGGCACGAGTGAGCAATTCATTTCACTCTTTTATAATTCGAGCGTGATGAAATTCAATTTCATCCTCGATCAAATATCTTTTTTTTTTAAAGTCCGCCAATGGAATTTGCCAAACTCTCACTCATCACTCCATTATCATGCGGATTATATGTGAACCCAGCAAACTGTTTCTGTATTGTTTCTGACAGATGCGAATCATCGACCACAGAGTCTAAAGGTGTTTCTGATGTGAATTCCTCATCGAAATTTGAGGTGTCAATAGCAGATTCCTAATTTTTTTTGATTAATCAATTAATAACGGAAACAAAAGGTATATAAAAAGATGAGAGGTATACGTACCACACTTGGTTTGAATGGTGGTTGCACCTTTTTTTGGATTAATTTTCTCCAATCAATTGAAGCAAAGAATGTATGTTCTTTAATATATTGAGCACCGTTATTTCCAAGACGTTGACTAGGATCTCTGGTTAAAAGCTTTAAAGAAATCACGAATTATTAATTCAACAATCTTGAGTTTATTCACGTCCAAATGAACATCCGAAAAAGATAATATAAATACCCCAGTCAATAGACTTCTGGCTTCAACTCCAACTTCCTCAGGGAATCTGAGCTCATCCTGCAAAATTTTCCGGTACATTTCATTGGTATTCTCATCGTAATATGGCGGTAAACCCGTCAACATTTCAAATAGCAGAACACCTAATGTCCACCAATCAACTGTTTTCGTGTATCCCTGTCCCAACAAAAGTTCAGGGGCAAGATACTCGGGTGTCCCACAGAAAGTGTTAGTTGTCTCTGATTCAGTCATATTTAGCTTACAAAGACCAAAATCACATAATGCAATATGACCAGTGTAATCTAAAAGAATATTTTCGGGTTTTAAATCCCTATAACCGAGAAAAATTTTCATGAAGTTAACAGAGGATTCATTCAATTTTAATTAGAAAAAATTTTGTACCCACCGATAAACCACATTGAAATCATGTAAACATTCTAACGCACAAAGCAACTCGGCTGCATAGAATCTTGATCGTTCTTCATCGAACCGTCCTTCCCGCTGCAAATGATGGAATAATTCTCCGCCATTAACGAAAGCTAAAACGAGATAAAGTTTCTCCGGGCTTTGGAAGGAAAACTTTAGAGGCACAATAAACGGATTGTTAATCTGCGCTAAGACAGTACGTTCTGCAAGGGTATGATTCACTTCTGAACGAGATACTATATGAGCTTTTCGGATGGTTTTTAGTGCATAGATACGGGATGTATCACGTTTCCGTACTTGCATAACCTTCGTTTAATTTGGTTCCACCACATCGAATCATTAATTAGCATGCTTGCTTCGCAAAAATTAGCAGTCATAATGATAACGATTCAATACCTTGCCGAAACTGCCCTTTCCAATGACTTTCAACAAATCAAAGGCGTCGATTGTCAACGGTGTGTTCGCCTAAAGAGAAAAAAAAAATTAAACATATACGTATCTATCCAAGAATTCATTCGCAAAACCCAGAAATACTCACGGTATCTTTTTTATAGACTATTTGTACATGCAGACTACCAGTGCCGCCTGAGAGTTTATACCATTTTTCTTGCATTTTCTATGGTTTATAAGTAGCGTACAATTCATTACAATTTTAGTTGTGAAGAAAAAGAAAATTTCCTTGATTCTAATAAGCAAAACTTACATTAACAAGAGAGAAATCGGGTTGGATTTTAAGACCACCCAAATATACATCATTACCCATGTCATTAGTATGTTGACCGGTTTGAGTTGCTTTACGAAGATATATTTGTATTGAGACATCTGATTCACGGGAAACATCACTAAGAAAAATTCACAAATCATAAGTTAGGTTAATCGGATTGCGTGTTATATAGGACAAATTATTTCTCAAGAGAACTTGTCGTCGTGAGTCTATAATTTTCTCACTATACTGAATCAAAGGATAAGACGCGATTCGATAATCCCTCGTTTCTATCCACTCAACCAAACCAAATCAAATCAAATCAAAATAAAGGAGAACACTCACAAGTGAGCACGATATCGCCAAATGGGACTATTCACTTCACCACCCAAAGCATCAATCAGCACTTCATTTTTATCGAATTCCAAGACGACATATGGCAACCACCAACACTGTTTCCTCTGCAGACTATCCCTATTCCCGCGTGTGCTGCTGGTATGAGGAGTGTTAAACTGTTGAGGAATTTGCGGTGCCTTGATGCCAGGAGGTAAACTAATTTCACTACCCTCAACTACATTGATGACAAGCAGACCAGAGGCTAAAATTGGGGTGGGACTGGTCGGGGTTGAAGGCGTATTACTATAGGAGTTGTGACTGTAACCGTTACTGGAGGAACCCGACGGGCGTGGGGAGGTGTTTGCGCTGATGGGTGCATCTTTGTTCTCTAACCGTTTTTTTTTATTTTTTGAAAGGCATGAAATTAGTTTGGATCGCAAGGTTATATTTAAATGGGGAGGTTTTGCCAGGTAGAACGAAAAAACGCAAATTATATGTTAAAATTAGTACAAACTTTTATGCGATCCTTTGGAAAACATTTTTAACGGGGTGTGTATGATAAAGAGAAAGGATGGGTAGAGTAGATATTTGTGGTAGAGTTGACTTTAAGTTTACAACAAAAACTAGTATTAATGAATATGTGTTGGCAAATTTTACTGGATTGTGCCGGACTTTGAATATCTATTTATGTATAGTGGTTCTATTTCAAGAAAAGATCACTCTTTTTGACCCTATAAAATCCCGCTTTTTCCTGGATCCGCTTAGCATCGCTTCAGGGAAGATAACCTTGTCTCCCTAAACGTTCCTATCGGAATCCATCTTCTTGTGTTTCGTCGATCCAGTTTCTGTCGGTGGATCCGGCTCAAAAAAACAAGTTTCAAAAGAAACCTAACTGATGAAGGAGTAAAGTTTGTGAATTTATTTTTTTTTTCGATCACATAATAAACATAATACCCTTTGTTTATGCATGTTCTATTATCAAAAAAAAAAACTTTAATGTGAAAAATTATTAATACACCATATGATCAAACGTGCCACGATCAAATGGTGTCACAATCAAAATTACTCATGATTCACTATGACTCTATTTCATAGTATTTTAGTATTTTGAGCCGGACATGGTGCGGATCCCGATACGTTTTCTTTTTTATAGAAGATACCTTTTCCTTCTCTTTTTAATAGAAATATGTTTGCAATGTTCAAGGTATGAAGATTTTTTATTAATTGGGATATCGATGATTATAGAACCACTGCTGATTAAAAATTCTTAATTTGAAAATTAATTAGTCACCAGTAGTGCGTATTTCCGCAATCGCCTCATCACAAATCCGCTACTTTTCATTGGTAAAAGTTCCATTCATCAATTCATCGTTTTAATAAACTCAAAAGAATTGACTTGTACTTTTCCTTGATATTAGTATCCGCCATCATGTAACCGCTTTCTAGAGCTCGTAAATGACATAAGATCACAATACCCGATCAATGAAATTACACCAAAAGAATTACAGGAAACGCTATCATCGTCCCGATCAAATAATCAAGAATCGGATGTGGTAGTAATTGATGTCCGAGAAAAAGATGAACATTTGCGAGGTGTAATACCCGGTGCTATCCCATTGCCACGGGGGATCCTAGAAAGGGATGTAGAACGAAAAGTGATAGGTGTTGATGAGGTGAACAAAGACAACGGTAAGAATGTCGTGGTTTATTGTGCTGGCGGAGTAAGAAGGTAAGACGGTTAACAACAAATTTTAAAGAATGATCTTTGTGGTCATTATAATTTGGTTGCTGATCATTATTTTTTTCGTAGTATATTGGCGGCGGAGAGTTTAATTCGACTTGGTTACAAAAAGGAGAATGTTAAAAGTTTATTAGGTGGATACGAAGGATGGAAACAGAGTGGATTCAAAACTGAAAATTATAAAGAATCATAGTTATATCAGTTTAATTATACAGTCATCCGTAGAAGATTGAATATTTATTTAATTTGTCAACCGATCATCCAATATTATCAAATACCGAAAATAAGATTTGCAATAAATTTTTATTTTCCTTAGGTTAAAGATGAGTGTAGCAATAAGAAATTAAATAAAAATAGCTGTGATTTATATAATTAAAATCACAAGACAGTGTTTGCTTAAGAGATACCGAGGAGTTCAACTTCACTATTATATTTATAAAAATTTCGCTTATAAGAAAAAAATGACGATAGAAAATGCTCGACCAAATTTGAACAAAAAAAAAGCACTCACAAGATAAGAGTGGCATTAGGTGGAATCTATTTTAAAAAATAAATATAATTACATTTAATAATCGAATGGATTACAATTTTTCTTGTATTCCTTCACATCAAAATAAAATTATTAGTCTCAGAAACATACCACATTGCCGGCACCTTGTTTTCCGTATCCATAGTCTGGCGTGATGATCAGTCTGGCTTTTCCTCCGAGACTAATTTGCGGAACACCTTCATCCCAGCCTAATTTTTTATTAAAAAGTAATGTAAGGTTAATCAAAAAATTCAGGAATACAAATTGATGAATCATTCAAAATTCTTCACCTCGAATCACTTTTCCGACACCAATCTTTGTTTCAAAAGGTTTTTTTCGATCATACGAAGAATCGAACTTTGTTCCATCCTCCAGCGTGCCGAGATCTTCGAAAAGACAAGTACGCATTCATCAGCATTACCTTAGAAAAGAATAACATACAACCATTTGCTCATCAACTAGGATGAGAAGAACTTACAGTGCATCTTGACAGTATCACCCTAATAAATAAATATAGCAACAATAAATATAAAGTTGATAATTCACCTATTATTCAATCACACTCAAATTTATTATTACCTTTTTGGGAAAGTTCTAATAATTTTTTTTGTTTTTAATTTTAATTTTTTATGTATCAAATAGATTATCGAGCGAAAAAGATTCGTAATAGCAGAAAAAGAACTTACTGTTTCATCACCTCTCTGATATAAGTAAAATTAAAAGAATTAATTTCATATTTAACTCAAAGGAAAACTTTTATCCATCAATCAGTACACCAACCTGGATATGTTCAACTGTGACTCCCTGGTACATACAATATGCAACAGCACATAAAAATTCAGGGACTCAGTAAATGTTCCATGCTTTATTACCAGTCTTGCAGCAAAAAACAAAATGGGGTTAAACTTACCATTTTTTTTTTTAACTTTATTGGTACCGTTTAGAAATGGCGGTTGATATGATTTCCTAACGTTAATCAAAATATCTAAACGATCTGCGAGAGAAAAGATGGAGAAAAAGAATCACATGTAGATCAAAGCAGATCAATTCACAAAGAATGGTTTCGGAGTTTTTTCCAACTCTATCGCGCGATTTTTCCAACCTTCTCAACGATACCGCCAACCATGATGTCATTATTGTTGCCGGTGAAACACCAAACAGCCAAGAGTTTTCTGCTCATTCCAATATTCTTCGAGCCAGATCTTCATACTTTGATAATGCATTGTCAAGTGACTGGGTGAAAAGAGAAAATGGCTTGATGAAGTTCAATAAGCCAAATATTACACCCGAGGTTTTTGAGCTCATTTTAAGGTAAAGTATTATTAATGAAAAACCGAGTTTTCTCTGAATTTATTGAGAGTTAATAAGGTAAAATGAGAAATCAAAATTATTTCAAGATACATTTATTCCGGTGCCATTGATTTAACGAACCAAGAATTAACGAGAGCTCTCGCGGCATTAGTAGCCGCCGACGAATTACTTCTTGATGAACTAGTTAAACATATACAAGAATTTCTGCTTGAAAATGCATACGAATTGCTTTCGAAGAATTATGTGTTGGTTCTGAGGACAATATTTCGGCTAGTAGCTTGCACAAAACTTCAAGATTACTGTCTCGAGTACATTTGCGCTGATCCTCAGCCATTCTTTGAATCAATTGATCCACGTTTAAACAAAGAAGTTCTGTTGAGACTTTTAGAACGTGACGACTTTATAATCGAAGAGATTATTATCTGGGACAGTTTGATTAAATGGGGTCGGTCGCAAAGGTTCTTGATCAACGAAAAGAATGATAATAATGATCTCAATCTTTCAGAATGGTCTCTTGAGGATTTTAGCGCGTTAGGAAAAATTTTGGAGCCATTTATCCCTCTCGTTAGATTCTTTGAAATTTCATCGGAGGATTTTTACGATAAAATCAGACCATACAAAAAAAGTTTGCCATCCGAATTATACGAAGAATTAATGGCCTTTTATTTGAAAGGCACGAAACCCACATTGAACCAATTACCCCCCAGGATTTCAAAAATAGACTCCAACATTATTACATGGAGACATGCGGTGCTATTAGCCAATTGGATAGATCACAAGGAACAAACCTCCGTAATAAATTGGTATCCTCCATACGAATTCAATTTATTGTTTCGTGGTTCTCGTGATGAGTTTACAGCTTCAAGTTTTCATCAAAAATGTGACGAAAAGAATTCGGTCATAGTCGTCTGCAGATTAGATTCTTCGCAAATTATTGGTGGGTACGACCCATTTGGGTATACAAATCAGTCGGAGGGTTGGCGTGCTTCTCCCGAATATTTCATCTTTTCGTTAGGCATTAATGAAGAAAGTACAAGCGCATTTTCGATCCTAAGTCGTTTTCTTGCGAATGACGAGAACGCCAGTTATAATCATCCTAGTTTCGGGCCATTTTTTGGTGACGGTGATCTTACCTTTTTAAATCCTTTGACTGAAGGGACTTGCTACTGGCATAGTTATAGCAATCCGCTCATGGGTAATTATCTTACGAAGTTTAAAGTAGCAGAACTTGAGGTTTTTCAGATTGTGAAAACTAAATAATTTTTGTGGATTAACAATATATTTGTATTAACAATGTAATTTTATCTATTAATTCCGCATTTGATTACCCTTATACCAACTTTGAAATGTCAGAAACTTTTATTTGTTGTCTTAAAATTTTTTTCATGAAAAGTGAATAATCATCTAAAAAGCTACAAGTTCAAAAAAAGTTCTTTGCACAAAAGTGTGCCAACGAACCTATGTCTCGGAAATCGAATAATTTTGGAAAAGATGACATATAGTGAGAATGCATCTAATGCGAGAGTTAATGATATTTTTACGCAAGATAAACTTAAAGACCTACCTTCGAAGAGAAGGAACAAGCTAATAAAGTTCAATCGTAAAAAGTCTGGTTCAAGTCCGGTTCGATTTTTAAAATCTACTTCGATCCTAAGTTCAAATCCGGCTCAGAATCGAACCTGGCAAAAAGTCTGGTTCAATATTTCTCATCCTGTTTCTTAAATTACCTTAGAAATAAAAAAATTATTATTATTTATATAAACTAAAATTCTACTATCGTAAAATTCGAAAAATAAGCATTCATCATAAATAAGCATCTTTAAAATAAAAATTTATCATTGATATATTATCAATTTTAAAATAACTTGTAAATAAGCACTCTTATTAATTAAAAAAGAATACTTATTTTCTGAATTTTATAATGATTTCTTTATTTTTTATTAACTTGCTTTTAGAAAAAAAGTTCAAATTAATTATAAACTTGAATTTAAAGAATTTATACCCATATTAAAAGTATAATTACTTTTATTATATCTTTAGTTTTTGAATAATTTACATCTTTCTTGTTTTTTCATTTCTTTATACTATTATTTTCATATTAATTAGAAGTTATGCAGTATAAATTTGAATGATTTTTTTAATTAATATTAAGTTTCAATTATATATTTTTTTCAAATTTTATAATTAAATTCTTCATATTAAAAATATTTAATATAATATCAAATAATTTTATAATTATTACACTTGATAAAGTAATTAAAAAGAAATATAACTATAAAAATTTTTTTTAACTATAATTAATTCATAATTCAAATATTAATTAATAAAAATTTTTGAAAAATTTTTTGTTAATTAAATTATTCAAATCTTTTTTTTAATTCTTAAGTAATTTTAAAATAAATAATTTAAAAATAATAAAAAAATAAATAATTATATAATTTCTTAAGATTTATAATAAGTTATTTTTTATTTATATAATATTATTTTAAAGTTATATTTAAAAAATAATAAAATATAATTGAAAATAAATTATTATTTTTAATTTAGATATTTTAATTCTTTATTTTTAATTTTATAAAAATTTATAAGTTTTAATAGATTTTTTATAGAATTTTATAATATTTTCTTATATAAATTAATATTTAATTTATTATAATTATTAATTTTAATATCTTATTTATTTTTAATATTTTCTTATATATTATTAATTATATATTTATTAACTTATATATTTTACTAAATTAATTAATTTTATTTATTATTAGTTATATTTATCTTGTTATTTTATTTAATCATATTTAATTTTAAATATATTATAGGTTGGTGCAAAAAGATTTGTATCTCAATATAAAAATTAATAATTGCTTCTAATAAAAATCATTCAAATTTTAATCAATCTTTAT